GCCGATGGGGACATCTTTGCAGTGCGGCGCCGCAACGCATTGTGTGCTTTGGTTCTTAGAGTGAGCAAAGTGCCGCAATTTAGATTCCTTTTTTTGAGAAACAAAAGAATTTGTACGATTTTTGACGAAAATCTCAATATTTTTGAGGAATTGGATTGAACTTTCTCAATCCACTGACATTATGGTTTAATCATGGACGACGTACATCAATCATTGGAACGGGCGCGTTCTGACGTCAATTGAATTATAAGCCCATTCTGCGGAGGCATTGTCTGTCATTGTATAGAAGCCTATTTGTTTTGAGGATATAATGACACGTAACGCCGAGGATGGGGCTGTCTTTGAAGTTTAAATGAGATTATGCCAATAAGGCCCGATTCGACCAAACTTTTATCCGAGAATAACTCCTGGTATAACTGGCACATTGACAGTTTCTGCAGTTTAAGTATGGGAAATATGTCAAAATTAATATTTACTCTTGTTTAGTCGAATCCAACCTAAGAGTTCAAAGAAATTATTGTCATACTAACTGTGCCCGCGACCGCGGCGTAAAAATAGTTTGAATAATATTTCTCATTCTTGCAACATTTTTCTTTATTGCTCCGTCCTCATTGGCTGTTTCGGTGGAAACATTGGATTTTCGTATAGATCTAGTTTATTTTGTAACCTATTATTGATACCATTGGATAGAGCTCGTGAAGCACTTTCAGGATCAGTAACCAATTTTTGGATATCTTTTATAGCTTAGAAATAATCGAGTGAGATCACTTATCGTTTCCACCCTGTATAGCCTAAAGCCTTCCTCAATAAATGGGCTATGCAACACAAAAATATATTTTCATATCGGACTAGTAGTTTCTGAGATTAGCGCGTACAAACAAACAAACTCATCAGCTTTATAATATTAGTATAGATTGATTACTTCTTAATAACAATCTCTATTAATGGGAGAGCTTGTTTAGAATATTCACTCGTGCGTCAAGAGCCTAGGGGTTGTATGGATAGAACACTGCAGTGTTGTACAGAGAACAGCGCATCAGACGAAATTGTGTTGCAAAATCGCCTTTACTCACAAAGACATAAGAAGCCACCGTCTTTACCTTAATGCCACATCAATTTGCTAAGCATCATACATTAGACAATCCTTCATACTCGTAACATTTCCACGAAAACTCGTTTTGTACTAACAAACCAGAAAATACTGATGCGAGTTACCTTTATTCTCTCGTCTATATAATTCTCTCCCTCTGGGCCAACCTTCGTCAAACGTTTGTATTTATTGTAAAGCCCGTACCTATACCTATTTTATTTCTCGACAGTTGACATTTGACATAGCTTGATTGAAGACCGGATTGACGTGGGTATTTAAAGCATTTGCCCGCGACAAAAGTCGAAATGTTTGAAAAATTAAAAAAGGATTACAAAACAAATAACACTAGTAATTAGTCTATTCGAGATTTTTATATGTTTTATAGCATTTCCGTGAATGAAGGTTACGTCCTGATTTCCTTTTATTTATGAAAATGGGTAAAGACCTCCCGCGCACTAGGCAGCCAATCGAATCTATGACGCTATATACCGATTTTCATATACCGAATTGTTGAAAATTACAGAAGTTACTCGTACCTGTTGACGTTTCCAAATTGTGTTAATGAATATTTCCGTAAATTTCAAACATCTTCTGATAATGTTTAACCCCCAAAAGCCGGTCTAACCCCAAATCTAGAATCATACCACGTGTATTGTCGGATGAATTAAATTAACCCTTATAAAGCTGCGAAATTACACAGAGCAATTAGGCCGAGGCGACCGAGTAATTTAGGGTTAGAATTAAAATATCACGACATTCCGCCGAGGGGTGAGCCGGGGCGAATTTTCATCTGCGTCACTGAATTTTTTCCTAACCCATTCCGGGGGTTTAAATTTTAATTATGCCGTACATTTTGCAAGAACAAAAGAATTTTTAAAGTTGGCGAGAGGAAAAAATGTTGTTGACTCCTGAACGGCCTCACATGAAAATGGAATTCGGTTTGAGGGCAACAAGTGTACGGACAGCAGAAATGCTAGGAAACCTGACTGAATTCCCGCTATATTGTGAGGGTTCTTTCTGTGCGGAGTAAAATCTTACATAAGTCGGTGGGTAATAGAAATGGGAAATGTGAAATGTGAAATTAATGCAAAAAGGTTTAATTTGGAAGGAACTAAAAATTTCCGGACATTTTATGTTTTTTTTTACCCGACTGCGCCAGAAGGAGGTTTATTTATACTCATTGATGAGAGTAAGCCTAGGCGCAGACCACCGATTTTTAGTTGGCCGATAGTTGGGCCCGATTCTAATTTGCATGAAGAATCGGCCGATACCAAATCGGTGTAATAACAGCCTGACCCAACTATCGGCCAACTAGAAGTCGGTCCTAGGCTAAGAGTGAGTAATATACTAACTCGTACCTACTGCGCTACTATCGCGTAACTACTAGTGGTGTGCAATAAAGTGTATTTATTATTATTATTATTATTACTAGTGGTGGTTATTAAGATGTTCTTAACTGTAAAAAGTAAGCTCATTCTTTAAAATACCAGTGAAATATAAAACCTAGACTTTTTTACTGTCTCTACCCAACTAAGGACTTCAACCATTTTCTAAGATGGGATCACTGATGGGATGAATTTTTCAAAACCTATCTTGTTCGTAATTCGGGCATGCAGAAAATTTATAGATACTTACCTACCTAAGTACGAGAACATAAAGGAACCGTCTGAAATTTTATTTACTTCATATTTTTTCATAAAATTTAAGCCTTTCGATACATAGGTCCTGGGGTCTATTCCCCGTTGGGACGCACAAATTAGACTATTTCAGTGGAATTACGATATTTCAGACCTGTAATATGATTCCATGTTTCAGAGAACTACCATAACAGTTTAAGCCGTGTAGGTCGGATTAAGCCATGTTCAGTTTCAAGTAAAGTTTGCTTGTAACTATGGGGCTATATGCCTCCATGAAATAATAATGGTTTTATCTTTACCCTAAAAGCATGAGAGTGGTAATTTTATGCGATTTGACAGGCCATCGGCTTACACCATAGCGTGGCTACGCCAAGGTTTAAAAATAAGTTATAGTATTAAAGGCGTTTTTCTTTTTATTTATTTTTTCATAGCAATTTATTATAATTTTCACTGAAGTACCTATATTGGATTATGGAAACCGTACTACATATAGGTAATATTATTGAGAAAGTAGCGTCTGTATTTTTGTTACTTTTTCATACTTAAACCACTTACATTATAGGGATTTTATGTCACAAAGGAAACATGGGATAGTTTTTTTTATTTACTTTGGAAAACCATGGTTTTACAATCTATGAAAAATATTTTATAAAAGCAAAAGGTCACTAACTGACTCACTCATCACGAAATCTCAGAAACTATAACACCTAAAAACTTTGGTAGGTAAGTTCCTTGTAGGGTGTACCTACACAATTACACATACGCTAGGAACGGATTTCAAAACATCAACCCCTAAGGGGATCCACGCGTACGAAGTCGTGAGCGGCCGCTAGTATGTAATAAAAACAAGTTATCCAAATTTTTAAACTCAAAGAACACGCGCGCGATAAAATCTCTCATTGAGAGACCGAAAGAGAAGCCAAAGCAAAAGCTGGTACTTTATAATTTGAATAACAAACTTATAAACCAACAATACCTCCTCCAATCAGAATGCAACAGGACTCATTTAAAGTTGAGGCACGCTTTACTTAGTATTCAGCATTTTCAAAACTCTTCGAGTTCTGGAGACAAAGTCGACAACTTTAATACCATAATATTGTCTGCGAATAATCCTTTTGTTGGGATAGTTTTATTTGTCATAAATATTCAGCGGCGTGAGAGGTTTTTATATTGGAAAACTGTTGGGGATGAACTTAGGAGTCATTGTGAATGATTTTCAGAATAAAAATTGTTGCGAGCATAGCTTCATCATGAATTGCATCGAAACCCGTGGTTTCACACTTCTAATTTTAAAGGAATACCTCTGGCGAACGAAAACACTTAGGTTAGATTTTATCAAGTGAAAGTCATAAATGAATGAATGCACAGAAAAATGTGTCTGATCCTTCGAGCCGGATCGATGATGTAATGCGAAAAAAGAATGCCAAAAGATGAAAGTATTATACAATATATGTATCTATGTACTTTATAGAAACAAACGACTGCCATGGGAATATATCTAGCGAGCTGTAAGTTATTGAAGAGTTTGCCTTATTTCCTTACACTTTGACTGGTTACCCCATTGTTATTTAATTTTTTTATTTAACTTTTCTGAAACGTAAATATGTAAGGCAAGTCACTGCAGTAATAAAGGCACTAGTTTTTTTTTTCAATAACTGTGAAAAACTTTTTATGGTATAACTAGCTGACCCGGCGAACTTTGTTCCGCCTTAATGACAATAAATAAGCAGATTTTTTTTTTAATTTCGAACGGGATAAAAAGTATCCTATGTCCTTCTCCTGGCTCTAAACTACCTCCCTGACAATTTTCAGCTAAATCGGTTCAGCCGTTCTTGAGTTATAAGTGGAGTAACTAACACGACTTTCTTTTATACAGGGTGTTAGGTAAATGGGTATATGAGCCGACACTAGCCCATGTTAACATGGTCATATAAATGGTATGGTGAAGTCAGAAATTTGATTTCATCATTTTAATTTTTTTAATTTTCATACAATTTTTTTTTTATAAAATCCGATTTGTATGAAAATTAAAATAATTAAAATGAAGATATCAATTTTCTGACTTCACCATACCATTTATATGACCATGTTAACATGGGCTAGTGTCGGCTCATATACCCATTTACCTAACACCCTGTATACGCTGGTTCCCTATGAAGACGCGCGGCACTGTGCGCTCGCCTGGTGCATCAGCTGCCGCTAGTGACTCACTCTTGGTGCTCCCGGTACAGCTGCTCGGGCACGCAGTACTGGTAGAGGTGCAGCACTCGCGAGCACTTGCGCCAGTACTGCCCACGCGCTGGTTCCCTATGAAGACGCGCGGCACTGTGCGCTCGCCTGGTGCATCAGCTGCCGCTAGTGACTCACTCTTGGTGCTCCCGGTACAGCTGCTCGGGCACGCAGTACTGGTAGAGGTGCAGCGCGGGGTGCGCGCGCGGCAGCACTCGCGAGCACTTGCGCCAGTACTGCCCGCTGTCGGCTGCGCGGCCCACGCGCTGGTTCACGTAGAAGATGCGCGGTACTGTTAGCTTGATTTGGTGCAGCTCACTGCCCACTAATGCCCATAGCTTGAACAGCCCTGGCTCCGCTGTCTCTGCCACCTAATATAACATAGCTTGTTTCAATAACTGGATCCATACCGCCCCGATCGCGCGAGGCACTAGGTGCAGCGTGATCGGAGCGTGCTGCATGGTCCGGGGTGGATCCGGCTAATATCGCTCCAGTACACGACACCGTATGCGGCGCGGTGGCAGGCTTTACGCGTCGCATAATTTATCCAGTGTAGAGGACCAGCGGCGGTACAGTGTCGGAACGGTAGTGGTGGCATCGTGTACAGAAGCGCACACGTCACATTTCCCAACCATAAACTTAGCAGAAATTGAACATTGGAAAAGCAAACTATAATAGATCACCGTCATCATTTCAGTAACATACAAAATTGGTCTCATAGAAAATTGTGTGATAATAGAAGCCAAGATATAGATAGAGAATAGAATTGAGGTCTAAATGGGGGCTAAGTTTAAGTTATGTGAAGCACCAGACTCGTTTGTAAATAACACATTCATCTTCACCTGTATAATCTGCCAAGGAGTGTTCAGTAACGTGCGCTGCGCCTTCCGAATGAACCCGCCCAGCGTGTTCGTCGATCCCGAATATTTCGGAGGCGGCATCGCGCTATTGTCGTCCATTTTACCTACACATAACGATCCCTATTAAGGCTGAGTTGCACCACCTAACTTTAGCGGTAACTATGACGATAACCGGTGCATTTTGTATGGAGTTTAGAGGTGGGCGCCACGCCGGCGCGCCGCCGCCGCCGCGAATTTTGTCACGCCGCCGCCGCCGATGACCAGCTGTCGGCGCGCCGATACTGATACTGTACAAACTATTTGAAATTTATTCCTCTCCCATACTGTACTAATTTGTGTTTCAAACGCAGAAGAACTATTTTTTTATTGAGTTGAGCGGCTATTCTAGTTCAATAAAGTCCTAGTATCACTGCGACCGTTATCGATCTATTGTGATCGCCGCTATTTTCCTTACAGTTCACCTCCGAGTCCTGCATCCATTAGGAATTGCAGTATCTTTTGGGGGGCGATATGTTTTACATCTTGTTGGCTTAGGATGTGTTTGCCCAGGTGTAAGCTCCGCTTGCGAATCAAAGGTCCGCAGTCCGTGAGAATGTGTAGTGGCGTTTCANTTCTTTTATACAGGGTGTTAGGTAAATGGGTATATGAGCCGACACTAGCCCATGTTAACATGGTCATATAAATGGTATGGTGAAGTCAGAAATTTGATTTCATCATTTTAATTTTTTTAATTTTCATACAATTTTTTTTTTATAAAATCCGATTTGTATGAAAATTAAAATAATTAAAATGAAGATATCAATTTTCTGACTTCACCATACCATTTATATGACCATGTTAACATGGGCTAGTGTCGGCTCATATACCCATTTACCTAACACCCTGTATATAATTAGATGTAGTAATTAGGTGATATTGTTATGAAATCTGACGCTGGATCTCGGGCAAGCAGAATTGAAGCCTTTGACAATCATCATCATCATTTCAACCATAGGACGTCCACTGCTGAACATAGGCCTCCCCCAATGCTTTCCATGTTACCCGGTTGGTAGCGGCTTGCGTCCATTTTTTTTTTTTTTTTTGAAGGGACGCGCGCTGGTAGCTTGAGGAGCTTTTCCAGCTTCACCGGGCAGAGTGGCGAGTACAGAAGGTACTCTAGCCGTTTGGCGATCGTCAGTGCGCGTGCCGACGAGGCCGAGTGTGGGCTTGGCTCGTCCGCGTCGGTCGCAGACCGACGTTCGCGATCGGGCCGTATCGAGCGCATAAGGCGCCCGATCAGTGGCGAACCCAACTGGCTTGCGTCCAGCGCTGTCCTGCTACCTTTATGCTGTCGTCGGTCCACCTTGTGTTTGACAATATTATCCTTGTTTGACAATACTTAAAATTAATAGTAGTCTACCACTTAGCACCCTTAACTACTAGGATACTAATTTAGTATCCTGTAAAGCGACTAGTACCCTAGCTAGCTCCAAAAACGTGCGAAAACCCCATTGTCGTGCGTTCACGTATCACGGCACGGATCCGTTACAAAAAACCGGATAATACCGGTTGAGACGTTGCTCATCTCTGTAATAGATCCCTTGCCAGATTAAATTTCATTCAACATGTCCCGTATGCCGAAAAACTTGTCCGGGCATGTTTGGAGGCGCCTAAGAATTAATTGGGTTCGGCCCGACCCTTGTAAGCTTTAGTCGACAAAATGCGAGTGTAGCGACGCCACGCTCAATTCAATGTGTAGACCCATTTTTATTATAGCTGTGTGAAATAACAGGAATACCGAATAACTTACTTGTAGAGTGCTTTTTTCCTGTCATGCGGATTTGGAAACGAGTGCGGATCTGGTCCGCATACGGGCTGTCCGCATTTCCTTATTTCGTACATATTTTTCTTGTTACGCGGGGCTAGATGCATGCAACCAGCAGCGTGATTATTACTTATACAGGATGTTAATTTCAATCCTCGCCATATTTAGGGAGTTGATTAAGTATCTTATTCTGATCACAAATCAGTAAAAAAAATGACTTCGAAAAAATCTAAAACTAACTTTAACATTAGTTAGTTAAAGAAAAATACCTATTTACACTTCCTACTTTACGTGGCTTCCTTCAGTAGGCTATCCGACATGATAAGCGAGCGATCCGTGTAGCTTGATGGTGCCGCAGTGTAAACCTATTGCAGTATTGCGAGCCACAGTTAAGTACCTACCTACTACAGTTGATGTCGTACGGAAAATATTTCCTAAAAATTCCACTTTCGTTTGTACTTTCTTTTTTTTTGGTGCACAATGCGATTATCATAATATAAGTCATATCATAATATGTAGATCACCTAAATAAATATGTCGAGGATTGATCAACAGCCTGTATATGCACGCCATAGATTAGAGAGACCAGATCCGCACGCGTGCCGTAATCCGCATCACAGGAAAAAAGCTCTTACGGCTGCCCTTTCTTTTATAAACTTCAGAACTTTGTGCGTGGCGCTCCAAAACATCGCTCAAAGTTATTTAGGTTTCCGACTTAATTAAAACTGTCTTTAAGAATTTAGTCAATCTTAAAGTAGAAATTTGTTTTATGTTGGGGGATCAAGTAAGATATTTCTGGAGTAAGTACCGGCACTGGAATCTTGGAAATGAAGAATTCAATCATAACTTGATTTATCTCAATGAAATCGTATTTCATTTTTGATCTCTAATACTCTAAATTTACCGCTACCAATCGATCAACGTGGAAAGCATTGTGGGAGTTTAGCAGTGGACGTGTTATGGCTGAAATGATGATGATGATGATGATGATTCTAAATTTAAAATACTACAAAATCCGTATTCATATTTTTTCTTTTAGTTACCATTTTATTAATTTTTTTATTGATTCAAGACAAAAGACAACACATCGATGACTTGAATCCCATAATCTGCTTAAGACCCCAAACAAAACCACCAACCAACACTATCACCATCAAAATGCCTCAGCAACCAATCAAGTTAAACCATCGCAAATGAATATCATACCCCCCAATTGATTCCAAAGAGCGTTCCGCATACGTTCCGTTCTGGAATCGCCGGAAATTGGAATGGGCGTTCCGTACAGTATTGGCGGGCGGCTCCAATAATTCCAGGATGTTGTCTGAGCAGACAGCCTACGGACGCCATTTTGGAAAACTTCAAAAAGGATAACAGGAAATTTTGCTTAAAGTGCCTTTGGTGGAAAACGCGATGCTGTGCTGTGTTCCCCTAGAGCAGGAACCATTATGTTTCGAAAAAAGAAAGAAACAAGATGTAGNGCACTAAGTGGACTTTCAAAAAGTCAAAACGAATGTTCCGCATAATTTTTTTAAAGATTTGAAATGAAGTTGTGTTCTCGTGAGTCAATGTTTGTAATAAAGTTTTTCAGAATCACTTTATTACTTTGTATTGAAATGTGAGATCCGTAAATGAGGAGATCCGTAGGAGAACCAAAGTGACTGATATAGCCCGCAGAATCGCTAAAATCAAGTGGCAGTTGGGCGGGGCACATAGCTCGTAGAGCTGATGGCCGCTGGGGCAGGAAAGTTCTTGAGTGACGACCACAAGCCGGAAGACGTAGCGTGGGAAGGCCTCCCACTACGTGGACCGACGATCTGGTGAAGGTTGCGGGAGGTGCCTGGATGCGAGCGGCGCAGGATCGGTCTTTATGGAAATCCTTGAGGGAGGCCTATGTCCAAAACAGTGGATGTCTTTCGGCTGAAACGAACGAACGATTGAAATGTTAACATAAGAACTTGACTTTAAACTTCGCATCCAGGCGTCTCCCGCGACCTTCACCAGATCGTCGAAGAACTTACTTTTATTACTTTATAATTGGTAAATGAGTTTCATCAATACGTCGTGTAAATACTTTTATTCTTATTATACTTTACCCATTTAATTTTCTAACTACTCGTATTAAGATGATCAAGATCTCTTTTCTCGTCTTTAGAAGCCGAAGTTGAGAGAGAAAAATGAAAATAATTTAGTAGAATTTATCGAAACAGTTTTATGAAGTAGGTTCTTATGTCCTTAATCTTCTTATAAGTGCTTTTACTCATCTTTCATTTATTTTATGAGACAAATATTTTCTTATAAGTCGTACAATAGTGTTTTGAGAAGGTCAAAAGTGTTTTCATAAAACTTTTATAAGTGTACATTCAGAAAATGTATTTCTTCCTATTCCCGTGGTGGGATTTTGTTTTGATGGAGCTCTGGGCAGAAACGATTATTAGGTAGGTAGGTACTTACTTGTATATGAAAATGTATAAAAACATTTGTAATGGGGTAAATATAAATTACATAACTGATTGGGTCAAAATCATAATTTTCACGTACTTAATCACATTTAACATCCCAATTCAATAACAATTATACAATATTTTTCGCAGTAGCTTCATAATGTATTCTTTGTTCAATTTATAAAAATTGCAAATTGATTAATATGGACATTGAGAGGACGTCATTTTTAAATTTCTCTTTGACGAAAATAACTTAGTTTATCAGCAAGAGCTAAATCTATTTCGAATGAAGCCACTTGTTTTTACCGAATTTTGTGAGAACTGACTTATTTGTACGCAAAATATTTTAAATTTATTTATAAATGTTAAATGACTGTTCTATTCTGATCCGGAATAACATATAGCTATAACAAATCAGTATAATACCTACAAGATAAAAGTCCGCTACTAGGTGGACCGACGATCTGGTGAAGGTCGCGGGAGGTGCCTAGACACGGGCGGCGCAGGTCCGGTCATTGTGGAAATCCTTGAGGGAGGCCTTTGTCCAGCAGTGGACATCATTTGGCTGAAACGAACGAAAAGAAACATAGAGTTCCATTTTTACTAACATAAACTACATACGGTTTTCTTTCCAACATCAAGGCTTCCAATTTCTCGCTCTCGCATAACGAAAGTGTAAATATTACTAGGTTACACTTTATCGATTCCAAACAACGTTGAAAGTGTAACCGTGTTCAAGACACACGTTCTTTTCTGAACGTGACATCCAAGTAACAAGCTTATTCTTCCTGCTCGACGTGAAAAAAGACGTGTTAATAATAGCAAGTAATGCCCTCCCTAAACGGTCGAAGAAGA